TCCAACAGGGAGATAAATAGTTGTCTGCCACATCTATTCATCTCTGCCCCCTGCCTTTTATCCCCAGAGCTAGAATGGGGCTTCGCTAGCAGTGGCGGCTCTTCCGTCTCAAGGACTGGCCCACGGATTTCCACTGCTCTCCTTTCCTCTGCCTTCTGCACATCTGTGCATCAGGCAGTGGACCCAGCTTCCTCATCAGTCAGTTCCAAACTTTGGAAACTCCTGATCCTTAGTGAAGTGTTAGTACCGCTTTATAAATCCTTAGTAAGACCGTGCTTGGAATACTGCCTCCAGTTTTGGCCACCGCATTACAAAAAAAGATGTTGAAACTTTGGGAAAAGTGCAAAGAAGAGCAACTAAGAATATTAAAGGCCTAGAGATGAAAACATTCATTTTGTCTTTATATCAGGGGTCCCCAACCACCAGTCCCTGGACCGGTACCGGTCCATGGATCATTTTTTACCAGGCTGCAAAGCTTGGGTGCCGCCATCTTGTTTCGACAGCACTTCCGGGTTTTCGGTTGCTTCCGGTTTTTCAGTTGGAAAGCGGCATTTGGGTGCTCACACCTCAGTTTCGTTGAAGGGGGTGGGCGGCTTCGAACGAAGAACCATCCCGATGGTGGTGGAGTCTCACGTTACTCAGGTACCGGTCTGTGGAAGAATAAATAATCCTGAAACCGGTCCCTGGTTCAAAAAAGGTTGGGGGCCACTGCTTTATATAACTAAAACGTATAAAGAACGGTTGCAAGAACTGGATATGACCAGTCTAGAGAGGAGAAGGATTAGGGGTGACATGATAGCAATATTCCAGTATTTGAAAGGGCTGCCACAAAGAAGAGGGGGTCAACTTACTTTCCAAAGCACCAGAAGGCAAGACAAGAAACAATGGATGGAAACTCATCAAGGAGAGAAACAACTTGGAAACTTCCTAACAGGGAGGACAATCAACCAGTGGAACAACTTTGTCTTCAGAAGTTATGGCTGCTTCATCACTGGAGGATTTTAAGAAGAGACTAGATAGCCACTTATCTGAAATTATATAGGGTTTCCTGCTTGGGCAGAGGGCTGGACTAGAAGACTTCTAAGGTATCTTCCAGTTCTATTCTTATTGAATTCAATTCTTTACATCAGGGGTGTCCAACCTTGGCAAATTTAAGACTTGTGGATTTCAACTCCCAGAATTCATGGCTAGCTGGAAAATTCTGAGAGTTGAAGTCCATAAGTCTTAAAGTTGCCAGGGTTGGACACTCCTGCTTTACATAGGGACCTGTCTGATTTATTGTTTTGATCTTAGATTAAATGCCTGTTATATGGCATTTTAACCAACTGACCTCTAGAGGTAAGTGAGCACTCTCTGAGTGAAATGTTTGAAGAAGCTTCTGTGGATTGCTGATTCATTCTTTCTGCTGCGTGGCTGTGACATGGCCCTGTAAGATGAGTAGAAGGTCATGAGTTGTGCACACTCTTCGAGAGCGTGCAAAATTGCATGTAGATTTGCGGAGAAAATCAATGTACGGTGGTAGCCTAGGGAAAATGGGAGTTGAAACTTTAACGCAACTGGGGGGGGGGCACCAGATTGGGGGAAATCTGGATTAAATAGGATTTGCAACCAGCCTGGGGTTGCCCTCTTTTCCCCCCAAAGTATTTGTGCCCCTGATTTTTTGCCAGTTGTGTATGCCTGTAGGACACAGGTATCAAACTCGTGGCGTCACATTGCCGTCACGTGACATAACTTGACGTTTTTCTCCTTTACAGAGCTGGGGGGGGGGCGTGGCCTACGCAGGCCGTATCTGGCATGAGGGCCGCCAGGTTGACACAGCTGCTGTAGGAGAAGGAGTGGCAGAGCTGTGGAAGGAGTCAAAAGAGGAATAAGCCTTGAATCTCTACGTAGCCACAAACAGATGAATTCCAACCCCTCTTGAATTCCATTGGCCCTTATATAGCACCAAAATAGTGCTAATCTTTAGTTGAGTAGATTCCTATGCATACACCTGAGCAATAAATGTCCTTTGGTGTCTTAAACTACGACCATAACGACTTGCAATCAAAATTCTGATTCCAAATGTTGTCATAAGCAGAGGAACACGTGTTGCAAAAGCACTCTGTGCAGTAGTTGTGACCATGTTTTCCCTAGGAGTTAGCCTTGATTTGAGAGAGTCTACAATTATCAACCAAGTTCTAACCGCGTCATGTCATTGGTTGTTTTGAATTGCGGTATTTTGTTAGGAACAGTAATATCATTTTTATTTTGGCCAGAGATGGGAGGAAATTTCAAGAATTTATGGAAAGAGAAACAATGTTTGTTCTGAGATCCTAATGCAGTACAAGAGCTCGATTGTGCTGCACTTGAGCAAAAATGTGCCGAGCGCTCATATTTTATTTACTGCTTACAACAGAGGATTAGCACTGCTGTGCTCCTTGTTAATATTGCACATCTTCAGAATATTTCCTTCGCTAAGCACAGCTTGTAGCTTTAGTTACATGAGCTGGTGCTTCTAGAAAAACCTGATTTTCTAAACATTGGCATCGGGATATGTTCTCACAATGGGATACCTGCAACATGACACTATATAAATACAGTTTGCACAACTTCTCTGGTATAGCTGTGATTTGACTCGATTTGTAGTAGAATTTAATGTACTGCAACGATATGCAAACTGTGTTGGTTTTGAAATGCTCCACTGACCTAAAATGGACACCTAACATCAAAAACGTCATCAAAAAAGCACAACAAAGAGTGTTCTTTCTGCGCCAACTCAGAAAGCTCAAACTGCCCCAAGAGCTGCTGATCCAGTTCTACAGAGGAATTATTGAATCTGTCATCTGCACCTCTATAACTGTCTGGTTTGGTTCTGCAACCCAACAAGACAGGCACAGACTTCAGAGAGTAATTAGGACTGCAGAAAAAAACAATTGCTACCAACCTGCCTTCCATCGAGGACCTGCATACTGCACGAGACAAAAAGAGGGCTGTGAAAATATTTACAGACCCCTCACATCCTGAACATAAACTGTTTCAACTCCTTCCCTCAAAACGATGCTATAGAGCCCTGCACACCAGAACAACTAGACACAAGGACAGTTTTTCCCCAAACACACTCACTCTGCTAAACAAATAATTCCCTCAATCCTGTTCAACTATTTACAAAGTCTGCATTACTATTACTATTAATCTTCTCATCACTCCTCATCACCCATCCCCTCCCACTTGTGACTGCATGACTGTAACTTTGTCGCTTGTATCCTTATGATTTATATTGACTGTTTCCTAGTATGATTCGATTGCTTATTGTACCCTATGACTATTAAGTGTTTACCTTATGATTCTTAATACATGTATCTTTTCTTTTATGTACACCGAGAGAGCATTTGCACCAAGACAAATTCTTTGTGTGTCCAATCACACTTGGCCAATAAAGAATTCTATTCTATTCTATCCTATCCTATTCTATTCTATCCTATCCTATTCTATTCTATTCTATTGAGAGCAAAACAGCTGTTTGGAAGGAAAACAATTTGTTTTGGCCACTTGGAAGGTATTTTGAAGAGGGCAAACTTGGAGTGTTTTGCACAATTTCTTTTGAATTATGAGTTGAACTTTGCAAAGCCACATAGTTGAAAGAAGCCACCTGAGTTTTTTTTTTCCAGAGTGTAACATAATCCCTCAACAAGCTTACCTCTGACCTAAAAATTTAGGTACAACTCAGGTATCGTAACTTATGCAATATGATTTAAGCAAGGACCGATGGCTCTATTCTTTCCTTTGAGAGCTGATAAAAATAGATAAGTCAGTGTAACATTAGTTCATCCAGTTTTCCATTCCTGGAGAAACCTGATATAATAATATAAATTATCATAATGAAAAATTAGTTATACAGATCATGATCTCAAAGAACTATTTGCTTGACGTTTTTGTTGGATCTTGTCATTTTGTATGACCAGCTGATGGCATGTAATCAAGCTGAATAACAACCACAGCCGCAATCCTACAGATCTAGACCAGAATTCATAATACAGCTCGACTTATGACAGCAGTTGAGCCCAATATTTCTGTTGCAAACCATGACAGTTAAGTGAGTTTTGCCCCATTTTACGAGTTGTTAAGTGAATCATGCGATCATCACAAAAGTCTGGCTTCTCCCATTGGTTTTGCTTGTCAGAAGTCAGCTGGGAAATTCACAAATAGTGATCCCGTTAGAATTTTAGAATTAGAATATGTTATTTGGACACACGAGGAATTTGTCTGCAGGGCGGGGCAATTGCCATAAATACATGCCCCCAAGTTTTGATCCTGTGACCATGGGGATCTTTCAACAGTCATAAACATAAAAATTGATCGTAAGTCACTTTTTTCAGTGGTATTGTAACTTGGGTCTCTAAACGAATGATTGTAAGTTGAGGACTTCCTGTATAGTTCTTGGACCTTATTAATTTGGGACTCACATGTTGGCCAAGTCTCCTGGCTTCTCAGCCATAAAAGGATTGGGCTAAAAACTGTGACAACAGCCTTAACAACACTCCAGAGGGTTGATGTCATTGCCCAGAAGATCATGGGTTGCCCTCTTCCCCTCTTTGGAAGAGCTTTATAGCTCCTTCTGCCTTAAGAAAGTTCAAAACATCCTGAAAGATCCATCTCATCCTGGGCACCCTTTTTTTTTTAAACTGTTACCATCTGGCAGGCGGTACAGAATACTAAAAACAAGGACAAATAGGCTGAAAAACAGCTTCTATCCCAGGGCAGTAGCTCTTTTGTATAGTGCAGTGTATAGTGCAGTGTACTGCTGTATAGTGCAGTGTTGGTGTGGTGTCGGGGGTTTCTGGTTCAATGTGTGAAGGGTGAAGGATGTGTGTTTGTGTTTATTTTCATGGTCATAGTCATGATGTGCACTGAAGATGGTGTTTGATTTCGTTGTACGAGGTGCAGTGACAATAAACTAAAACTAAACTAAACTTAAACCATCTGACTGACTCTAATGTTTTCTTGTGGTTGTTTTTCCTCAGGAAAGTATGCCCCAGACGCCTCCCTTCGCAGCCATGTTTGACAGCAGTGGCTACAGCCGATACCTGTTCCAGTCCAAAGAGGACAGCTGTGAAGGGCTGTATTACCATGACAACAATTTGCTGTCAGGATCTTTGGAAGCTCTCATCCAGCACTTGGTGCCCACTCTTGATTACTACCCAGATGTAAGTCTGCTCCAATTGCAAATTAAATCCTCTCACCCTGCTGGGTCAAAAGTGGAAGGCATGGCAAGGTGCCATAATGCATTTGCATTAGAGAGAACAGTTAAGGGAGTAGGCCTTGCCAGCTCCAGCTTCAGAGTGTATTTTTTTTCTTTTTTTAAATTTCCACAATGTATTTTATTAGTTTATCAAAATATAAAATATGGAAGTACAAAGGGAAAAAAAGGGAGGAAAAGGGGAAAAGAGAGAAGTGCAGGATAAGGTATCCCAAAGTGCTTTTTAAAAAGACAACCACCCCTTTTTCTTTGTTTTTTCCTTGAAGACATTTTGCTTCTCATCCAAGAAGCTTCTTCAGTTCTGATAGAACTGTCAGAAGTTCTTTCAGAACTGAAGAAGCTTCTCAGATGAGAAGCGAAATCTCTTCAAGGAAAAAAAAACAAAGAAAGGCCAGTTACCTTTTGAAAAAGCACCATGATCTGAATGACTGAGAATCTCCACAGACATGTATGGTGGGTTGGAAAAGAAAAGGAAAAAATTATTGACTTCCAACTCCTTTGGTGCAGTAGAATAAGGTAGTAACATAAAACCTCAACTTTTTACTCTTATATGATAATACGTACTGGCCACTTCTATAATAACAAACCTATCTAAATCAGCAAAACCCAAAATCAAAAGTTTGGGGTTTTTTTTCTTGGTTTAGCTGCTTTGAGCATCTCTGAAAATGAGCCAGACTATCACGATGTGGTAACTTCATCTCCCTCACACCCCGATTTACTTACGCATTGAGAGTTTTCCAGCCAGGCAGCAACCTATCCCTGGCTCTTAAGAAAATATCACAAAGAGTTGTTGTCGTGCCTGGATTGCCTCTCTCTTTTTCTCTGCGTCACTTGGACGAGGGCTATTTTTGCCAGGGCTGCCATGCGCACCGCGGACATCGACGTTTGGCATTGAAGATCAAACCAGATGCAGATGGTCTCTTTGAACTTTGTCTTGGACAGATCAGAAGCAGCTGGGCGTCTTTGCAAAGAAGTATTTTCCCCTTGTGCCCCCTTCAAGGAGGAAATGATCTTAGGGAAGATGAAAAGGTCAAGCAGGTTGCATTTCTTTATCCTACGATCATTTTTTCCTGATCCGGATTGGAATGCAGAATCGATGCCTCTCATTCTCCTGACTCTTAGAACAGGAGTTCCCAACCTCAGGTCTGCGGACTGGCACCCATCCACCGCGTGCCAGAAACCGGGCCACGCAAACAAGCAAAGCCCCGTCTGTGGGGTGCAGGCAGCCTGCAAAATCATGCCTCCTCCAATCCACGGAAAAACCTTTCTCCCTGGAACCGGTCCCTGGTGCCCAAAAGGTTGGGGGGTGGGCACTGTCTTAAGAGTGTCAAACTCGATTTCATTGAGGGCCGCATCAGGGTTGTATTTGATGTGGGGGGGCGGGGTTTGTGTGTCCAGGATGGGCGTGGCCAGCTCAACATCACTCGTGTCAGGGGCGCCTATGGCCAGCGAAAATTGGCTCCCGATCTCCGTTTTTGGCTGGGACAGCCTCCTGCAGCCCTCTGCCAGTGAAAATGGAACTTGGGAGGGCTGACCCCTTGAGCTCCATTTTTGCTGGCAGAAGCACCATGGGCCAGTCCCTCGCTGTTTCCAAGATTGCCCCCCGCCCCCCGAACCAGATCTAAGTACCCTGTGGGTCGGATCTGGCCTCCAGACCTTGAGTTTGAATCCCGCCCCCTCCAGTCTTCGAGAAGAGAGGGGCATGATTTCCACTTGAGGTGAAGCAAAGGGTTGTTCCTCCTTCCACCTCACTTAAGTCGCTTTCAAGTTGAGCTCAGTCCCTAGCGATATACAGACGCACATTCATGCCATTTTCTTGGCAAAATACACAAATGGTTACTTTTTTCTTTTTCTTTTTTTACTTCCCTGTCTAAAATGCAGCTGTGATTATGAGGTCTCTCTGTAATAAGCAGTGTTGGCCCCACTTCACTTTTTACATTCAGCCAAAGTCAGCCATATAAATCATCGAACTGGCCAGATAAAGACAAATGCAGCTTTAGAATTAGTATCATATTTTTTCCAATGCAAAAACTACTACCTCACCAGGCTAGTTTTAAGTTTCAGAAGAAGAACTGAGACTGGATGCATCTTCTCATTTTGTGCGATGGCTTCAAAGTACTACAAAATCTATTTTGCTAATTTCTAACAAGGTCTGATCAGTGCCAGCTGATTCCATTTGAGTACTTTCCTTTCACCCAGTTCATACCGAAACCATCTCTTGTTATGTGAGTTGCTTCATGGTTAGAAGAAACAATTGTTGTGTCTTCTCAGAAATCTTCATTCCATATGCTTCAAAAACTGAAATCTTCCAGAACAAATTCTTCTGCCTTTTTGGTCTGCTTTGGGTGGAATTCAAGCACTCCATCCGTCATGTCTTCCTTACACACGCAGGAATTATTGCAAAGTAATTCTGGGGACAATAGAATAACCACCCTCTTCCACACAACACAGATGCTTTCTTGTCCTAAAATTGGGTGATGCTAGGAAATTCATTGCAAACAGGTTCTAAAATAGTTTTTTTTTTAAATCCATAGCTTGAATTCTTCAAAAGGAGCAGTTTTCCAAGTTTTCGCTAGTCTAAATCGTGGATTAATCCTAATGACAACAATTATATTTGAGCTGACTATATGCAGCTTATGCTTCTTTTTCAATTTAGCACAAGCCTCTTCCTCTTCCCACAAATCATGAGGCATACCAAAAGGGCTTGAAAGAGGTAGAGAATTTTTTTTCTTTGTGCTAGACTCTAATAAACATAAGCTGCAGTGTGTCTTCTCTTAGCTTTCAGCAGGAAACATGTACTGTGGGGTTTGTCATATAGTGGTTGACTTACCAATGGACCCCAGAATCAGACATGATTCAAAACTATGCAAGTATGTGGAATTTAACAATCTCTTGTGATTTGGCCCCATTTCTTTTAATTATTCCTCTGGAGGTTGCAGGTGCCATACTTCAGTGAAGTAGAGGGCTCAACAGATGGGAATACGTATTGCTGACTCATGCTTTGTACTAGCCAGCTGCAGTACTTACAAATAGATACTCATCTCTAATTTGTCTTTGATCTAAACAGCAGGTCCTCAGGAACGTGATGAATGATGGGGTTGTTTCCGCCTTAGGTTTCCTTCAGGTGAAAATGATGTGCTCAATTTCACTGGTGTTTAATTACTCAAATAAGTTGCACAATATTTTTCAAAAAACGCTCCTGTTACCATACCAAGTTGATTCATGCTCACACATAGAAGTGTAGAATGTAGTGAATAACACCCTTCTGGATAACTCATGAGGGGTTGGTCAAAACTCTGGAAGCCTGGTGGAATTTTCCATCCTGTGATTGACTGGTCGATGTCCTTAAGGCAACAGAAATTCCATGTTGGAAAATTGCAAGCGGAGTTGCACTGCGTCCACTCCATGATAAAATGAAGCCCAAATTTATTGAATGCAGAATTTGTCAGCCACGCTGGCTCGGGAATGCTGGGAGTCGAAGTCCACAGGTTGTAAAGAGGCCATCGTTGCCCTTCTCTGCAATAGAGGCATGACTTTAGTTAGAAATCAGTGTCAAAACTGTCCACCCAACTCTATATAAGGAATGTCATACAGCTGAGTCACTGCCCCACCTGGCCTTATTCAACCAGGATGTGATGTATTCTAAGCAGGTTCAGCAGAGAGTAGCATTTGGTGCAATTAAATTTTAACACCTCTGCAGCACAGTAGCTGAACCAATAAGCAGTGAACTTTATTTCTCTCTCTCTCATTTACAGAGAACATACATCTTTACTTTTTTGCTGAGCTCTCGGCTTTTTGTACACCCTTATGAATTAATGGCAAAAGTCTGCCATCTCTGCACCGAGCAGCAGAGGCGAGCGGATGCTGCAGCTGATCAAGTAAGTGGCTCCCTGATTCGGTGGATTTGAGGCCCGTGGAATAGAGTAGAGAGTGGAGAGTGGAGTAGAATAGAAAATAGAGTAGAATTGCAAAGAGAGTAGGAAAGAGTAGAGTAGAATAGAAAGTAGAGTAGAATAGAATGTAGAGTAGAACATAGAATAGAATAGAATAGAATAGAATAGAATAGAATAGAATAGAATAGAATAGAATGAGAGTAGAATAGAATAGAATAGAATGAGAGTAGAAAAGAGATTAGAGTAGAAAGTAGAGTAGAGAATAGAATAGAAAATAGAATAGAATGTAGAGTAGAACATAGAATAGAAAGTAGAATAGAATGTAGAGAATAGAATAGAATAAAAAGAGGAGCAGAAAAGAGAATAGAATAGAATAGAATAGAATAGAATAGAATAGAATAGAATAG